TTTTTCATCCATTCAGCACAGTCCAAGACTCAAACAGAGGAGTAGCTGTGTGGGTAAGTGAATGAAGGCCGCTTGAGGTGCTTTTTCAAAAAAAGCAGAGACAAAAAATTTGAACTGAAAGACTCAAAATGTAGGAGAGGTAGAGAAAGGTTGTACAGAAAGGAAATGTGACTTGAAATCTGATCATGGAAAATTATTGTAACAATCTCAAAATTACTTTTACCAAGTAAACAGCATGTTTTCTTAGAGGTGGACTTAGTATAGAACATTGAAATGTATAAGATCACATCTTGTCTGCTAAGTTGATGTTATGTTATCAATAAGATGGCAGGCAATTAAACAGAACTAAGCTAGGAAGCATTGAAAACAGTTTCATGAAATACAGTGATGAAAGACTTAGAATTACCAAAGAATAAGAACAAATATTTCGTTTTCAGTCACAGCGGTCTGATGCTGATCACAGGGCATGAGCAACATCTAGTCTTGCTGTCGTTATTCATGTTGGCTATTACATGCTCATCACAGCATATACAGGTGCATTCTGAGAACACATTTATTGTTGAGAATCAATACAGCATACAGATCTAACAAAAAGTTCCTTAGAATAATTTCAGCTGGTGGAGTCCTTGCTCTGTCTCTCATGATGTAAAGCAATCCCACAGAATGAAATGCTAAGCCTGCTAATAATGAGGAAGCCTTTAATACCCACAGAAAATTTTGAGTCCTAACAGAACAAAGAATCTTTATTAAGATGTGTGTACGTAGCATAAATGTCCCTCTACATTTCAGGGAACAAGGCTGCATCAAAACCAGTTTACAACTCCAATTTATTCCAACACCCCTTGAAAAACCCAGGTGGATCACCAATCCTTAAAGCATTTTTAAAATCAGTTTCTTGACTTGTTCTATAAACAAGCTTCCTTTTTCTACGAATATCAGTATTTTCTTATTACGAAATGTTAACAAACAGTGAGCTAAAACCTCTATGCAAGTCAGTGTCTCATGGCAGATCAATCCCAGCTTGTAGAAAAAGTTATCTTAAAAGCATGGAAGCACTAGAGCTTAACTTCAGTAAGACTGCTGACAATCTTACAAGTTTCTGGGCTGAAAACATATGCAGTTTAAAAATTAATCATGTTAGAAAATTTCAAATTAACAGACAGTTTGAATTACTGTACTTTTTCCACATGTCTGAAGTCCATAGATTAGAAATCTTATCTGAGAAATATAAGACAAACAACTTAGACTGCACTTAGCTGTACTTTTTCTAATTTAAAATACAAGACTTGCTGCACCCCAGATGCAGACAGGTCTTGGGATCCAGTCTTAACTCATTTGTTCTTTCCCTTAGTAACAACACGTTTCCAGTCTGTTCACTAGAAAAGACCCTCCCTTGTAGTTATTGCAATACACTTACCTCTTGATTTGATTATCAGTGCTTAGTGTTTACATGCAGAAAAGACATGCTGGTCCTTACTAAAAGTCTGGTTGATCTAATATCTTATCTCCAGCTGGTAGCAGATGTTTATGGAAGCAGTACAAGAGCGAAGTCAAGTATAAAGTGAACTTTCCCTTGGTTTATGCTCCCAGGTTGTGGCAATTGATTTAAAGACTGCTTGAGCTGGAAATTGCATCTGGATCATTGTGTTTTATGGAGATACATCATCTATACTGGTGGGTTTTTGTAAGCTTTTTTCAATAAGTTCCACAATTTAATTACATGGAGGTTGTTTTGTGATGTCACAGACTTGACTTGTACTGAGATATGGTTAAAGTTTTTCTAATGTACCAAATGGACCTCTATTATACAGAAGGCCCCCAACAGGATTATATTTATTTTTTAGTTGACTAATTTTGTTGTTATTAATCTTGTGAGTCTTAAAATAATTACCAAGACCCAAATTCTGGATGAGGAAATAAAACCAGAACATAAAAATAAAGTTGTCTCATTGGAATAAGTATCATCAGCTCACACATGGGCTTGCATCTATCCTATGTTTCCACAAGACCTATCAGACTAAGGACCTGTTCCACCCTGGACTCTGTAGAGGTCAATACAAGTATACAATGATAAATCCACAGAGCAGATTATATACAGCACATATTCTTCTTCAATAGTAAGTGTCTCTGTGCCACAACACAATGATGGTGAGTGGGGGAAATTACTGCATAACTGTTTTATCTCTGTTCCTCAAATATGTTTTTCTTCACAGGAGATACTCTTCACTACTTCGGTTTTTTAAATTTATTTTTAGTCTTTCAGACTGTAATAAAACTATTACTAGCTAGAAGTGGTACTGTAATAGGAGTTAAATTTTCTTCATAGCAACAGGCAGAATATTGGTTTTCTTTTACCTTTTTAATACTTTCCCAAAGACTTTAGAGGTAATCATGCAGCTTTTGAAAAGATCATAGTTTTCCCATGTACAGTCTGAAATCTTTGGGTAAGCGTATCTGACCTGCAGAAAACAAGCTATATGCAGTGTTTAAATACAACTGACTCATACACTTTGTACAAAGCTATGTTTTCAGTGAACTGTGTTTCTAAGAAAAAGGGAAAGACGTTAGGGATGCACTTCCAGGCTTTTAAGAATATGGTCAACTGAATACAAAATGTTTTTCATTCTTCTAATAAATATCTTCCAATAAATATCCCTAAGTTTAGTAACCTATTGACACAGATAACACATTTTGCATGCCTTCAAATGCAAGACATATGGAATGTTTTCTTTTGAAGCCTCCCATCCTGCAAAAAAAGAAGTGCACGGGTAACTTCTACGCACATGAAGATCTACAACAAACACAGTGGGGTTCTGCACTTGCTGGAGTGTGTTTTGGTTTAGGACTGCTCTTCTGTCCCTCAGCATCCTTTGTCGTATCACAATGTGCTTGAGGCTCCTTATCTGTAGGTGGGAGGATACCCCCGGGGCCCTGGTGGCCTTGTCACAGCTATGGATGGGGGAGGAAGATTTCCTCCTCTGCTCTGTGGGGGATAGTGGCTGTTCAGGGCAGGGCCTGGATGCTGGAGTGCCTGAGAGGAGCTGGCTTCTTGCGGCTGGCCTGTTTTCTTCACTTCATTGCCACCCTGTCCTTTCTTGTTGTCTGAAATGTGTTTGGAGAACGGAATTAAAAAATGAACATGCAAACCAGAAGTTCTCTGAGAGGGAAATCCTGCAGCCACCTGTCCACTCCAGAGGGTGGTGGAAAGTCTCGGGCCTCCCCTGCCAACAGCCTGAAATCTGGGGTAATGCACCTTCATGATCTTTGCACCATATTTTCCCTCCAGTCCTTTCTGCAAGACCCCGATGGAGGAAAGTGGAGGCTTTTCCGAAGTAGCTAGATGCACTTAGATATCTTCTGTAAATGACAATGAAGGTAGCATTTTTAAAGTTAAGTGAACAGGTTTTGAGGCTGCAGACATGCCTTGCAGGTGGTTCTTTCAAAGGCAGTCATCTCTAATCTGAGTTTCTCTGCTAGGCTTGAGCCTATACTGGCTGTATGGCATGCATGCATGATGGGGAAAGTCTAGCAGTGTCCAGGGGAAAGGAAACAGCCTGCAAAATCCTTCAGAACAGACTGAAACCTGCCTGACCAAGCTAGGCTTTCTGATAAGGATTGCTACGGTACTGTGTTCTCACTATACCTTCTCCCTGTGAACCTGTCACAGAGGACAAACACTGCCCTGAGCAGTCCTGGATCAACAAAGTACAATAGGAAGGTGCAATATTTGGACCTGACTGGTTTGTGATAGGTAAGAGGGCTCACTGATATTCAGATCAGAATTTAAGCGGGGTTTTTTTGCAGGGCTGGGATCTTGCGATTCATTATAGCTCTATTTCAGGTTTTTTTGCTTTGGTGTTTCCTGGCGTGGAATAATATTACAGTATATCTTAAATGAGCCAAAGAGAGAAAAATGGACTGGAGATTAGGCTAATACTTGTGATTCAGTATTGTGAATATCTTTCAGGAGATTATGGCAAAGGAAGCAGTCAAGGCAGTGAGGAAGCGTATGGTCTGGCATGCATGAATTCCTCATCCTGAGGAGTTCAAAACAGTCCTTACCTTGGTTTGGAGTGGATTCGTCTTGCTTGCCTCCTTTTTGCTTTGGCTGCGGTGGTTCTGTCTCAAATGGATTTTCCTCTTGTTCATTTGATTTTTGTGCCTTTTGTTTATTTCTTCTTTTATTTTCTTCTGCTTGCTAATGATGGGGAGAGAGAGAGGGCATCTTTCAGTGAGCTGAACGGCTTCTCTTATATTTAGTAAAACCAAAAATCAATAATTCTCTATTCCTTACACTTTGTAGCTTCTTTTTAAGTTCCAAGTTAGCTTCCTTGTAGGACTTGGATGTAGCATTGAGATAATAAATACTCAGGCTAAATTTAAAGAAAAATAATTTCTCGTTAGGTAATGATTTAAATATAAAGACTCTTACAACATTCCTGTAGCAACAACTACAGTTGTGCTAACATAAAGTCTGTATCTTTTCCTTGCTTACCGTGCCTAATCAGTTGTAGTATTTTGACAATTAACAATGTGCTTCCTTACAGTATGAAGAAGGTACTGTTATTCCAGGGGAAAAAAAAAGCTGAAAGAAGTTTTTCAGTCTATTAATACTCTACATTCAATCTTATAGTAGTTAAGGAAGATGTTCCATAAAGCTATGCCTCACTAACTCTATGAAATTAATATTTTTCACCATCCTGATTTAATTAGAGAAATTGTGATATGAAGTCTTTTATTGATGTAAGCAGTAAATAATTAATCTACATATGCTGTTTTCTCTGCTTTGCCTGATTTTGCCTTGTATTTTCCTTCTGTTTTGTTTTCTTTATTTATTTTTACTATTTTTGATTTGGACCATTCCAAGAAAGGAATAGTGCTCAAAAAAAAATCAGTAGGAGTTGACCATGTATTTCAAAGGATAGTCTGGATTCTTTGTTTTTGCTAGTCAAGGGTTAAAATAGAATATGATATTAAGTGAACCTTGGCAAAATTTCACCTCAGAATTTCATTTTGCTCATGTCAGCAGTATGCTAAATAATTCAATATATGTATACAACACTTTAAAATGCCTTTATAAAGCAGGACTCAATACGGTGTCTGAGAAAGACTATTCTGGGGTCATTATTCTTTACTAGGTCCTGATTTACAAAAAATCTCTACTAGCCCTATTTCATAAAGTCTCCAACACCCTGTCTCACACTCCTATCCTAACAGCATAGTTTATCAAGGAAAGGCCAAGGCACTGAGGATCAGACTCACTGAAAGTTACTGAGAAATAACTCTGCTTCATGGTGGTCATATTTCTATTGTACTTGCTAAGGATTTATGATGTGCTGTTTTGCCTACTGGACAAGCTGATCAAAGTCACAGCACTTCAGATCCCCTATAGGCTTTTGCATTTTAATAGCTTTGCCATTATTGTGGCAACAACATTTTTGAAAAGCAGTAACAGAACCAAAAAGAAAGCCATTGAACAAAAAAGAGGTGTTACCCTTTGTGCAAAGGCATATTAATTATAATCAAATAAAAGGCTCATGAATTCTTCAAGTCCCTCAACACAGGGCAATCAGCACTGTATTTAATTAGATATTCAGGCAGTGAAGATTCAGAGTGAAAGAAACTTAACAGACCTTAGATTAAGCAAGCTTTGAGTTAATATTCTATACGTACACCATCAGCAATATAAAAGGTAGGATGAGTCCAGGGTTAGAAGCATAACCAAATACCTTCCCAAACCAGGAAGGGAAGTCATGCTCCAGAGTTTCTGATATGACTTCAAACATTCTAGTCTTCCCACTATTAAACAGAAAAGTTGACAATATATCACATACAAATATTATGGCAATCTCAATGCAGTAGTATGAATATATAGGTTAATCACATCACATCAAACCTGGGAAAAAGATGATAAACAATATATTAACATTATTTAAAACTTGACACTCTGAAAGGAATATTATTTAAAATAGTATTTATGTATTTTAAGGGGGAAAATAGACACCAATATTTTTATTGTATTCTGATAGATTTTGCCTGCAGTTACCACCAAGATTACTGCTCAAAGAATCAGTGTACTGACTTGTGAAGTCCACACCACCAACCAAAGAGTGAGGTGCAATTTGAATTTTTATGAAGTCCTGGTGAAAAACTCAAATCCCATCTTTGTGTGATTTATAAGCAAAAAATGGTCTGCTGGCAATTGGTTTCTGTTCAGCACGCTTCAGCCTAATTCTCCTCTCTCTTTGCTGTGTACCAATGCTATAGAAGTCAGTGGCTGTTTTTTAGAAGACTTTTGTTATTGTTACAGCAATCTAATAACCTTCATGTGTAATTGTTCCAGTGCCAGCTTATCTAGGAAGTATTTTCTCCCTAGACCATTAAGTTTTTCTTGCAGGCGCATTTTAATAGATGTTCCAAAAGTCCCTTCCTGTTAATTTTGCTTTTGGCTGTGCCTGACAATATAGAATTTGAAGGTTTTTTACCTGAACAAGACCAGCAAAATGGGTCTTCATGTGTATTGAGACTAATTGGTAGTTTTAGTTTATTAAAAGAATTGTCACCAAATTGCCACCTGATATTCCAGTCATTGAGGTCTCCTGTCACCTCTTTTCAGGTCCTGTAAAGCATTTCTGACAACCAGGTCTTTTTCTTAACTCATTGTTCTCAACGTTTACCCTCTTCCCAGTAATGTAAAAACATTATAGGTAGAACTTGTCTTCAGACCAGTTCTTTCTCTCCACTTCCCCCACCCACCCATTGTAGATCAGATATTCCACTCTGCTCTGCTTATCTTTTCCCCAGCATGCACAAAGCTTCTTCTGTTGCAACTTTGCTAATTCTGTCCTGGCTTCCCTACTCCTGGCAGGTCTCTGTTGTGTTGTATATGTTGCCTTTAATGATGGATTAAAAAAACAAACTAACAAACAAACAAAAACAGAAAAAAAACCCGAAAGAATCAGAATTTTCAAAATAGATGAGACACTGAGTTGCCAAGAGGAAAATATTTTCTTTTTTTTAATACAGAGTCATGCAATACCAGTATTTATCCACTGGCTTCTCAACAGTAGCGTTACCTATATTCAGGTTGAATGAACCTTGATTAGTTTCAAGTTCTCCCCCATTAAAAGTTACACTGAAGATTTCACATTTTTTGTGAAGAACAAAGTATCTTTGCATTTGACAGAGAAAAAGTTGCAGGCACTATTTCTTTTGCATTTTTAACAGTAATATTACCATTTTAGTGATATCCAATTCAATAACTGCAGCTACTCAGATCTGACTCCAGATGTCTCCCTCTGTACTTTCGTTGCTATGACTCAAATAAAAACATCTTACTTTGCATCACTTGCTTCGTTATCATTGTTTCCGTAAATTCAAGCAATTTTCTGTCTCATCAGAATTTTTGGCATGTCATGCAATTCTCCCTCTTAGGTGACTGTGACTATGGCAGGTGGCTAGAAACAATCTCCCAGGTATTTTGCCTTTGGCCAAAGTTAATGCGACAAGACTTCTGCTCCTTTACAAAGTGCACTGGGGTTTGGGCAGATATCATTTTACTCACAACAGTAATGCATTATTCAAACCTTTCATTGGAATCAGGATGTCTCTTTTACTATTCTCCTACTCTTGCTTTGCTAATATTTTGTTCAAAACCAAAGACTAAAGTCTTTTAAAAATTTTAATTTCATATGTTGGCTGTTGTTGTGCACTCATTGTAGTTGTATGCCATGCTACCTGGCAAGTAAGGATAATGAAAATGGTCCCAGACTTTCCAGGTAATGTGCACATGAGGAGAAAGTGCAGCAACATCTAAGCTAGCTTGAATGCAAGGCACATGTTTGCACAGGCAACGCAGGCATAAGTTTTTAAAGGGACTAATGGACATAGAGATCTTGAAGACTTCAGAAACAGAATCAGCTTCACAGTGGTACTACAGATGCATGAAATACTGTGACAGCTGGAGGAAGTCACAGCAGTCAGAGACTGCACCACTGTATGTTTAGCATACCTCCATATGTTCTGATACGCCACTCCTACAGAGCGTATGCAGACATTTCCTGAAAGCCTTCACTCTCAAGCCAGGAGACCAGAGATGCATAACAGGTCACTGCTCTACTCCTTAAGAATAATTTCTGGCTTAATTACAGCAGTAATGACATTTTTTTTGCATTACAACTAACTAAAAGTAAAGATTTTCTGTTCTACACTTCAGATAAAACTTTCTGAAGAATTACTCAGTTTTCTACGATTCCATCTTCAGGAAGTATCTACAATGAGAAATGTGACACAATTAAACACTCAGCCTATCACGTGCTAACACTTATTATAGAAGATCTTTTTCATGAATGCATCATTCACTGTGATGTGATGAGGTAGTTCATTACATCAATAGAAAAGATGGATGTAAAATGCAAAAAACCTGAAAGGACCACAGTCAAAAGATGGTGGGATGGAGACAATGGTATACACAGCAGGCAGTGTGGAGAGAAAGAGAATGAAAAGCAGCATGGCCATGTAGAAGTTATTGGATCTGGAAGCCTTGAAGACCCTCTCTTGGGGGACATTGCAGCACATGACTGCCCAGCACTGCAGGTACATTGAAGTGTGGAGGCGGAACACGTTGATTGCTGGGAGACATGGAGCATAAAAAGATCCCATCCTTGAAAAGAAACAAAGAAAAAAATAACTACTTTGTTGTAGGACCTCTGTCTTCCTAGATATGCCACCCATTCCCTATGTCAATGTGCTTTGCAGCCATACACACTGTGCATTCAGAAATGAAGTTCATAAAACCGTCTTTATATTTTTTTACTGGTCTTGTCTCTTCAGTCTTGCTTTAAGGAGAACTGGAGGCATATGGAGAGGATTCTTCATATAAACTTTTTGTTTCAAAGTTACAAAGCCCTCTTTCTCTGCAAATTAAATTATAACCTGATGAAATGTTATCCACTCTTACTTTGTCCCTTTAGTTCATGTAGCAACTCACTTGTGTTGTACAAAAAATGATAGCCCTAAAGCTAGGTATTACCAAAATAATCTAGTTTATTCTTTATTATTTTTCTTAATATATTAGCACTATTTTAGGAAGAATGTTTTTGCTTAGTTTACATTTATTTTACTTCTATTACCATGGTTATTTAGAGCTTCATTGCAACAAACTGTTTATTGATTCTGCTAAATATTGTTTTTTCCTTATTATGTACGGTTGCATGGTTACGGCAATGAAACAGTTGGGACCGTTTTATTTTTATCGCACCTTGTTTCTTGTGCCATGCTGACTGAAGAGCAATTATTTTCATTTGCCTGGACAATGATACAGAATGCAAGAGATCAGGAATCTACTTTTTCCTTAATGATTGTCCAGGTGACCAAGGCTGAGCTGCTTTGCATCTGAGTGCCTCAGTTTTTCTATTTAAAAAATAAAAAATAGATCTACATGGTTGGAAAGACCGTCCCAGTACAGAAATATTATGACAGACTCTATTATATTAATATTTCTCCTTCCTCTTTTCATATATCTTCAATGAAAAGATAAAGGGGTTGCTAGTCTACGATTGAAGGGAAAGAACACCTCATGGCCCTGTTCCATACCCTCATGGAAATCAGTTGCAAAATAATACTCCTCAATTTCAACAAGTTCAGAATCTGGGTAACTTATGGCTGTTATCGTAATATTTCAGTATAACATTTATTATATAGTAGACAAATTCTTGCCAAAGCTTATTAATACAAAGACTTGCAAATGATTTACATCCCACTTGCTTTGTGAAAACACAGAGAAAGAAAGTTTTCCTAAACGCATGGTGTCTCTCTCATACACAAAAATAAATGCACACATATATACCTCTTGAATCCTTTCTAGCTCTGTGATAGCACCAGCTCACCAGCTGCACCTGAAACTCTTTTTTATTCTGTTTCAGACAAGCACAAGCATGTGCAACAGAAGTTGTAAAGCTCAGATAAAACAGGAACCAATTTATCCTATGTATGTACTAATGATAAACATAGTTTTGGCAGTGTATGTTTATTATAAATAAAGTTTTTAGAGATAAGTTTTTTATAAGATGAGTTTTTTACTCATCTGATGTACATAGTTCAGTTTAAATCATCAGACATTATTTTGAAAAACATTACAGCTCTCATGCCTTACTTGACCCTGTAAATATCAATTAGCATGGAAATGTGGTCCCAACCCTTCAATACATAGCAAGCCGAAAGATGCTGTATCTAATAGGACCACAAAAGCACAAGTCACAGTTTCTGTGCCAGAATGTGTATATTGGGGCATGGCAGATTAGAAGCGTACAGAGTGTGTACATGAAATGAAGTATAAAAATGGTAGGTATATTTAGAAGTTTTCTTAGAGAATAATCAGGAATCAACTTCTACACCCAGTCCTCAACATCTCACAGGTAGAGAATGATTTCCAGACTATCTTCCAAAGCGTTAATTACAGCAATGGAAATTATTAGTGCCATCAATTGTGTACAAAATTCCAAGCAGAGTTTATGCTGCAGCCTCATCATTTTGATGAACAGGAGCCCGAGAAATGTTTCTTATCAGAACTTAGAATGCCAATCCTAAGGCAGATAGCAAGACGCCAGTTGCAAAGCTAAGCTGCTTTTCTAAGGTGCACTACACAACATAGATGCCTCACATGCCATCAGCAGGGCTGGACTCCCTCCAGCCACACTCTTACAGCATGCCATCATTAGGTGGCCATAGGTGGTGCAATATAACCTCCTCCTGAGCAAGCCCACAGTGCTGTTGTCAGGGCCCTCAGTGCATCCCCCCAACAGGGTTTGATTGTGGGGGCTGCAAGATATTTACAGCCTCTTTCTTTGCCATATTTCTGTGGCATTTGTTTGACATGCACACAACACACAACCTTTGGGCTTTACAGAAGTGAGGGTTTTCTCCAAGCAAAAGGTCTGATCAGCGAAGTCATATTAAAGGTGAAGAATTAACTTTGAGAAGTCAACAGTGCTTGAGGAGGACAGTTCCTGAGGGACAATGAGCATCTTGCATGAGGACTCTACATACTAGTATTCTTTACCTCTCATGTAAAGTCCAAAAATGGGATGAAACATAGACCTCTTCTCCTCTGGAACTAAGGACTAATACTGCAGCAGTAGCATTTTATGCACATTCACATGCCTGCACAGACAAGTGTACATACATTTGTTTTAATGCCTTTTTTCACAGGACACGTGGGAAAAGAGTGGTAAGGTATTTTGAAAGGCTGAAATTCAAAGCTATACAGGCCAGGTGGTTGCTCTAGCAAGCAGACAGTCAACAAAAAGATAAGACTCATCTACACAGCTTTTTACTGGTTGGTCTTACTAGCTCATTGCAAAATCCTAATGCACCTAGTCCCATAATCTTAGCCCAGAACTAGTTTTGAAGCAGTCCCATTGATTGCAGTGTACCAGAGTTTGCTATATATGCATTACACTTCCATCAAACTAGAGCCATGGGACAGTATCAGCATTTCAGAAGAATCTTCCACAGATACAGCTAAATCCTATAGTCCTGCGATGCAACATGCTTTGCCACACCTACCAGATCATGCCTTGGTTAAAGATCAGTCCCAGCACATTTCCACTTATATCAAACTCAGAATATGATGGCTGAAAGAAATAATACAGATGCTTTCATTAGGCTTGCACAAAGGGTTTTAAGATGACTTATAGTAGATTAAAACTATTTCCAACAGCAGCAGCATACTGGCATTGTGTTGTAAGGCCTCTTGTTGCACCTTATTAGTGAATCATGAAACAAATTAATATGACTCAAGGACAACAGGCAGACTTTAATACAGCTTGCAGTATTTTACTGAAATTTTTTTTGAGATTTGTTCAGCAGAAGGTGCTAATGCAGAAATAAAAATCATTCTGTGTACTGGGCAAATTTTAAAACAACAATTCATAAATTTTCCATTGGAGTGGCTAGTGGTGG